CATCCACTCTGTCACAGCCAACACTCTGTCACACAGTGGCCAAAAATATCAGGTGCCATCAGGAGGTCCAGCAGTGGGGCCAGGACACTAGAAGCCCTCCCACTGTTGCCTCCCCCCCAAGCACCAAGAAGACAGAGCCCCAGCCTGTGAGTTCCTATCTATACCCTGTGGCTAAAAGCCCCTGATGGACTTCTGCTCCATATGCTTATCTAATTCCCTCTTGAAGCCGTCCATGCTTGCAGCCTCCACCACCTCCTGTAGCAGTGAATTCCATGTGTTAATCACTCTGTGGGTGAAGAAGATGACGAAGAGAAGAAGAGATTGGATTTATACTCCGCCCTTCACTCGGCGTCTCAGAGAGGCTTACAAACTCCTTTCCCCTTCCCCACAACACACTCCCTGTGAGGTAGGTGGGGCTGAGAGAGCTCTCTCCAGAACTTTCCTTGAGAGAACAGCTTTGACAGAACCATGACTTGCCCAAGGTCATCCAGCAGGTGCAAGTGAAGGAGTGGGGAATCAAACCCGGTTCTCCCAGATTAGAGTCCGCACACTTAACCACTACACCAAACTGGCTTCCTTTTATCTGTTCTAACCCGACTGCTCATTATCAGGCTTGCCTGTTTTAAATGTGACTGTTTACAAACAAGATCTCGAGAGCCAAAATCAACCACATCCGCAGTAGTTAAGTTGACCTAACTACAGGGCACTCCTGGGTTGAGCTGATCAGTAGCTGGTTTTGGAGGCAGAGGAACCACCCGCCAGCTTGAGCTTTAACCTGCTGTAATGTGCCCTGCTGTTGCTCTCCCTCTTTCTGCAGCCCCTTTGCATGGGTGTAGACAGGCTGTCATTGTTTTATCTCTTGGGTTTTGCTCTGTGGTTCCTCTTGATGGCCAGCACAGCAAGACGGATGAACGAGAGGACAAGAAGCAGGAAGATGGGGGGTGGGGGAGAGGGCTCCGGGGAATGTGCTAAAGTTCACATCCTGCTGCCAGTTTGGTGTTGCGGTTAAGTGCGCGGACTCTAATCTGGGAGAACCGGGTTTGATTCCCCACTCCCCCACTTGCAGCTGCTGGATGACCATGGGCAAGCCAGAGTTCTAACAAAGGTGTTCTCTCAAGGACAGTTCTGGAAAGAGAGCCACTCTGAGACTCCGAGTGAAGGGTGGGGTATAAATCCAATCTCTTCCTCCTCCTCTTCCTCTTCCTCCTCCTCTTCTTCTTCCCCCTCCTCCTCCTCCTTTATCTCACAGGTGGCAACCCTGAGTGACACCAGGTGCTGTGTTAACCCAGCAGATGCTGAATACCCCGTGAGCCTATCCTGTGTGGTTAATTTGATTCATCTTAGTTGCATTGTTATTGGAAGGATCACTCCGTGCCCCCAATATGACAGGCTTGGTCTGGGTTTTCTGTTTTTGAACAAGCAGTTCAGCTCCTGGGGCCCACGTTTCTTTGTAAAACAGTGGTGTGCTCTGATCTGCTGACCTAGGCAAAGGGTCTCCCTCCGCTTCCTCTTCCACTGTTTAGGCTTGGAGAATCAGTCTACCGCCACTCCTCTGCAGCGGTTCCCGACACCAAAGGGAAGATTTGGGTGTTCCAAGAGCGAAGCACAAGTCTGTGGTTTGGAAGCACGCTTGTGGTTCTGCCGTAAGACGCAGGTGGCCGTGACAACAGGCTCTGGGGTGGCAGGAGCAGCAGCCATCTTGTGGGGTCGGAATCAGCTTTTGACTCCCACACCGTTTTTTAAGGATCACCCAAACGGCCTTGGCGCCTTGAGCCAGTCGTAGGGCTGATTCTGTAATTCTGAGCAAGGTATCAGCGCCTTTGCTAATGGCACACTGTCTGGGTTGTGCGGTTTCTCTGGTTGCGTGTGTTTGTGTGTATCTCATCCTTTCCCCAGGGGGCTAGGGGAACAATGTCATCTCAGGTTAGGCTGGCATTGGGAGAGGTTCAGTGGGAACAACAAAGAAGGATGGGGGTCTCGAAGAACAAGGTTGAAGGAAAAGCATACGTTTAGCCTGCAGAAGAGACTGGGGGACATGATAGTGCCTTCAGATACCTACCAGAGGGCTTTTCCGCACACTCAACTTACTCCTGTTTTTCTTGACAGTCGATTGACAAGCATTGGTATCGGTTTGGGCACGGTCTTCCACACGTCTGCCCTCCCTCTGCATTCTCACAGATGTGGAGTGTACTTTCTTCCACTCGTGCCTTAAATAACCAGGACTTTCAAGAGAGAATGCTGTTGTCGCTGGTGGTGTCACCAGCAGCATCACAGCACCCCCTTTTTATTTTTTGCACAAGCTTATATTGAAATGTCGATATCATGGATGCACTTTAGGTCATTAAATGTCAGTATATCAATATATGGTGTGTAATGATAGATTTAGCAAACTGTCTGAATCCCCAGCTTTCTTTTTTTTTTAAGTAAATCTCTATCCCTTTTTCATCTGGAGATCTGCTTTCTTCCTTATATCTCTGTGAGCGAAGAGGCTAGAGACTTAAACAAAAAAAAAGATAACCGCTGGGAAGTCAGAGAACTTTCTATCATTACAACCAAGGGTCATTTCATAGAAAAATAGGTGCAGGAGCTAATTAGCATAACTTATTAGCATAACTTATTTGTGTATGCCACACCGCCTGACATCACCGGAAGTGTGTCAGAAGGCAACACCCACTGCTCAGGCTCCACTGGACTGTTTTGGATTGCTAGCTATTGGGGGCGGGGGAGAACGTGCAGATCTGTCCTCACAGAGGAGGGAGAGCTTGTACCTGAATAAAACTTGGTCTTAAAGGTGCCACTAGACTGTTTTGGACCGGGGGGGGGGAGCTCTGCAATTTACCTGGCTGTTTCTTGCTCTGAATGAGGGCTGCTGGGAGCAGGGGGTGGGGCTTGTTGCATGTACCCGCCCCCTGGGCTCTTTACTGCCGGAGCTCTGCTCCTGTGCGCTCCTGCAGGAAATGACCCCTGATTACAACAATAGATCAATATTTTACTGATTTAAAAAAACAAAAACAAAATCAAAAACAAAACTAGTCTTCCAAGTGGGGGCGGAGTGGTTTGTACACCACAGTCCAATCATGCAAAAGTGGCCTGGAGGTAGGTGGGACAAAGAAAACTGACAGAAACATTATGCACAAGGAAAAAGTCAATACAAAATCCTAACACTGACAACAGTTCGACAATGGTACCAGTTCCTGGGGTGGAGGGAGGTGGGCTCTCCCTTGCTGAGGTCTTCATGCAGAGAATGGACAGTCATCTGTTGTGAATGCCCTGCCTCTGGGTATTCTGCACTGAGCGAGGGGTTGGACTAGATGGCCCACAAGACCCCTTCCAACTCTAGGACTCTATGATACAGTGGCTTGCCTAGCAACACTTGGTGAGTACCATAGCAGAGCGGGATTTGTCCCAAATCTCACAGTCCACCACACTGACTTTCAAATGGTGTGGCTCATTGGGGACTGAACTAGCGCCTTTTGGCCACAGGACTCTGGGGAAAAGAAACAGAATTTATCTGGTTGTATTTTCACTGTTAACGAACTGAAACGTCTGAGACCAGTTAGCCCCCTTACAACACAGGGGGGCAGCGGTGGAGGGCATTGTCCGCTCCCTACAAGGCTTTGGAGTTAATTTTGGCCTGCCGTCACATCGGTGTGCTCCCAGGGATTTTGATCCGCTGCCTCCAGCTGTTGGTTTCCACTGAACTAAGGTGACCTTCATCTGTCGAAACTTGTTAAAACCTGCCTGGCTGCCCAGCAACATTATCAGAGGGAAACCTGGCACGTCAGACGCGCGCGTTGCTAATGTGACGATAGAGCCCGGATTCCCAATTCAGTTTGTGGGGGAGGGGTGGTCCTTAAAACGTCGGGTTCCCTCTTCTGGCCATATTCGGTTTCAAGAAGACCTGACAGTTAGATGCCTGTATTAGCAATTTGTGTATATTGTATATATGCTGCCTCATAAATCCCTCTGTATGGATGAGCCTTTGTGACTCTCCCAGTCAGTTCAACAGTCTCTATTCATGGCCCATTCTTATATCTGAAACTGCAAGAGTAAGAAACAAGACCTTTTTAGTGGTTGCACCAGAGAGCCAGTTTGGTGTAGTGGTTAAGTGCGTGGACTCTAATCTGGGAGAACCGGGTTTGATTCCCCACTCCTCCACTTGCAGCTGCTGGATGACCTTGGGCAAGCCATAGTTCTGATAAGAGCTGTTCTTGAAAAAAGAGCAGTTTCTGTCAGAGCTCTCTCAGCCCCGCCTCCCTTACAGGGTGTCTGTTGTGGGGAGGGGAAGGGAAAGGAGTTTGTAAGTTGCTCAGAGACTCCTTTGGGTAGTGAAGGGTGGGGTATAAATCCAATCTCCTCCTCCTTCTTCTGGAATCAGTGCCCCTTAAAAGTAAAGCAATTGCCATTTGTTTTTTTATAAAGGTCATAAGAACCTGTTGTTTTTGAGCAAGCTTTTGATCTGTGAGGGGAGCAAGGTCGGATCCAGTGTGGTGGCATGATTAGAATATCAGGTGAGGGCTGATATGGGTTTATATTCCCACTCCTCTCACCCTGACCTACCTCGTAGGGTTGTTGTGAAGTTAAAAATTGCAGGCGAGAGAACTGTGCACAGCTCCTCGCTCCTCACAGAAAGGCTGGATGCAAACATGATGAAATATTAGTGCTGTTTGTGGTAGGTGTTTCTGAACTGTTACTTTGTTTCTGCAAGTGTGGTTGAAGGTGACTTTGTTGCTTGCTTCTAAGTTGTTGGATTTATAATCGGCCTCGAGTGTAAGGAGAGGCAAAAGGCAAACACTGAAATAAATAAAATAAAATAAACGGGGAGGTTGGACCGTTGGCCGATCCAGCTGCCCCATATAATCTGCTCCGACTCACCACAGTTTCCCAAGACCTCAGGCACTGAGCCAAAGGAACAGGCCTCCCCTCAGTTCTCCAGTGTATGAGGGATTCCTCCTGCAGAGCTGGTCTGTGCAACTGTCTATGTTTTTCATTGTCCCCAGGGACCTTCCTGACCATCCGTCGGTTGAATGGGACACGAGTCTGCTGTCTGCCTTGATCCTGAAGCATATTGAAACCAACCACATCAACTTGGTAACGAGCGCTTCTTTCTCCCCACCCACCCCGGGTCTCTTTTTCCATCTGAAACAAGATGCGGGAGTGGCCGATGGCACAGGTGATTTTGTAAAAAGTCTCATGGCCAGGGGTCATTTCATAGAAAAAGAGGTGCAGGACCTCATTAGCATAACTTATTAGCATAACTTATTTGCATATGCCACACCCTCTGACATCCCCGAAAGTGTATCAGAAGGCAGGACTTGTTGCATGTGCCCGCCCCCTGGGCTCCTTACTGCCGGAGCTCTGCTTCTGTGCACTCCCGCAGGAAATGACCCCTGCTCATGGCCATTGCCTTTGACAACTCCATGGGGTCTCAGTGTACACAATCTGAGCAACAGGAGTTGGTGGTAAGGAATAGCCAGGCAGCGTATCTACAGCCAGGCAGCATATCCACCAACAGGGGTTGGTGGTAAGGAATAGCCAAGGAGCATATCCTCCTGTTTGTGAGGGTATCTGGCTTCTAGCGTTGGAAGCAGAGTGGTGGACTCCCAGGGGTGTCAAACATACAGCCCACGGGCCAGAACTGGCCCATCCAGGTCTCTTATCCAGCCTACGAGCAACTTGTCATTACCTTTATTACCAGATGACAGGGGCTGTGCATTATGGCCCTGTAGACTGTCCCAGTGCTACTGCGTAACGGGCGGTGAAAGCGGGAGGTCGGGCATCAAGAAGATACTGTAAGAGTGTTAATGTTTTAAGATGTTTGTATTTTGAGTGTCCTTTATAAAGTTTATAACTCCAGTACCTGGCATTGCATTTTATGACACGCATGGCCCAGCCTGACAAAGTGACATTTATGTCAGGTCTGGCCCTTGTAACAAATGAGTCTGACACCTCTGTCTATGCCTTGAACTTGGAGGTTCTTTGGAAATGGGGAGGTCGTAAGGGGATTTCACAAAGCTGAAAACAGACTCACGGTTTTGTCACTAGCATCAGTCTCTCTCACAGTTCCACTGAGTTAATGCTTCAGTGACCCAACCACCATTCAGAAATCCCCAGCCATGTTGGAGCAATGTTTGAGTCAAATGACTTCGCCTCCTTGCTGATGCATCCACTGCCCCCTTTAAGCATCGCATCCTCTGGGGTGCCCATGTTGGGAAGTTGGGAACTGGCAAATGTCTACCTCCTTCCCAGCTTGGAGTTCTGTGAGCTTGGACTTCAAAACGGAAAGCCCATGAGCTTATCTTTGCTGATCTCAATGAGAATGCCAGTGTCTTTGTTGCGGTACTTACTTTTCAAAAACACAGCCATCGAGTCTTCTGCCAGTACTATTTCCATGTTGCTTCTTGGGCAGAGTGTGTAGTGATGGACATGAGCGTAGACAGCTTTACTAGAAGATTCATGGCTACTAGCCATGGTGACTAAGGGGAACCTCCACATTCAGAGGCAGTAAACCTCTGAATACCAGTTCTGGAGGCAACTAGGGGAAGGCCTCAGCTTCTATGCCCTGTTCTTGGCCCTGTATAATAACTGGTTGGCTGCTGTGTGAGACAGGATGCTGAACTAGATGGACCACTGGTCTGATCCAGCAGGGCTCTTCTTATGTTCACACTGTGTGACATCTTTCTGAGTGCATCAGTTGACGCTGAAGTGCCCTGAAGTGCATGCAGTGTTTATTCTTTCTGCTGCCAGTGGGTGGCGCTGTTGCCTCCATAGCATGCTTGGATTAAAAGGATGGTGGTGGAACGGCTGTCAGTTTCAGCAGGGAAACTGGCAGGTTGGCCAAGCAAACTCTGCAAGTGGAATTTGTCAGCTTCAAGGTAATCCTACCTTTCTAGGACAGAGGTCAATACGGCCTCTGTGTCAGAGCCAGGTGAGGTGGAAATAACTTCTGGTGAGTCAGAGAAACAGTTCCTCTACTTCCGTTGCACAGTGAGTCATGCAGACAATGGGACCTCTTGTTGATAGAATTCCTCGGCCCTCCGGCAGCGCTGAGACTGTCCAAAGTCCCAGCAGGTTCCGAGAGGAAACCACGGTGGGCTCTGTGTTTCTCTCTTCATTCCTCTCTTCCATGCTGTCTCCGTCATTCTTTCAGCTGGCCTGGACACGGGTGGAGCAACTTGATCTCACTTGGGAAGCCACAGGGATGCAGTTCATCTAAGCTCCACTGTCAAGACTGCAAATGCAGGAAAACGTTAAGGCTACCATTCTCAAAGCCAGACCTGATTTATGAACCTTGGAAATTATTTCCCATGTGCTGGATTTCTGAGCAAAAGCTGACGGCTCTTCCGGGCTTTCGGATCTCAGTCTGGGATAAAGTATGTCTGGGCAAATTATGTGGTTTCGGCAGCCACTGGACAAATCCAGAGCAGCCCACTGCTTCCTGCCCAGCACCTATAGCACAGCACCTATAGCACAAGCAGTCTTAGAGGTGGGGAAGCGATTCTGGCTAGGACTAATGCAGATCTGGTGAATTCAGTGGCAGCTTTCTGATACAAACTGGGGCAGGGCCATGTCAAGCTGCATTAGGAAGCCAGGCATAGAACTGCATCGTCTCCAGACCCGGGGCTATGAGGCCACGTGCTGGAGCCTAGATTGCAGCAGGCAAGAAGCCTGTTGACCAAAGAAGAGAAGAAGGCCAGACTCGTATAGTTATATACCCTGGCTTCCTACAGCTTGCTGATCACAGAGGTCAACATTACACTCTCCTCATTCCCTTTCCTGCTTGAGCGGGTCTCCAGGGTCTCAGCACACGCAGTCCCGGAGCCAGTCCCAGTTTTAGCCTTTCTGATTCCCAGTTGAACCAGACTCTTCAGGATTGCGACGGCCAGGGGTCATTTCCTGCGGGAGTGCACAGGAGTGGCGCTCCGGCAGTAAAGAGCCCACAGGGCGGGCATATTCAACAAGCTCCGCCCCCTGCTTCCAGCAGCCCTCAGTTGGGCCACGAGGAGCAAGAAGCAGCCAGGTAAGTTGCAGAGGCCCCCCCCCCCCCGGCCCGCCTTCAGGTACAAGCTCTCCCTCCTCTGTGAGGGCAGATCTGCACATTCCCCCCCCCCAATAGCTAGCAATCCAAAACAGTCCAGTGGCACCTTTAAGACCAAGTGGAGCCTGAGCAGTGGGTGTTGCCTTCTGACACACTTCCAGTGATGTCAGGGGGCGTGGCATATGCAAATAAGTTATGCTAATAAGCTATGCTAATGAGCTCCTGCACCTCTTTTTCTATGAAATGACCCCTGGCGACGGCTCTGATGTACCTGGGAGGTTGCATGGGCACTGCAGGCTGTGACGCGGCATGTTGGTACCAGAGGCCCATGTATGTCCATATCCAGACCCAACGTCTTGTAGGGTTGCCAGGTCCAGGTTGGGAAATACCTGGAGATTTGGGGGGGGGGTAAAGCCTGAGGAGGGCAGGGTTTGGGGAAGGGAGGGACCTCAATGGGGTATAATGCCACATGGAGCCCACCTTCCAAAGCAGCCATTTTCCTCCAGGTGAATTGACCTGCGTCTCCCGGAGATCTGATGTAATCCCAGGAGATTTCCAGCTACCACCTGGAGGTTGGCAACCCGAAGTCCTTCCTGGTTGGCTGCATCTCCTTTGCCTTTTGCATCCCTGGAAGCTCCTTGATTCACGAATCTTGAGCCACAGAATACTTTTATTTATTATTCATGCAAAGGGCTAAAAGGACTGAGACAGATTTTTGGCAGCATCTCCCGATTGGGAGGAGGAACTGGCTCTCTAAACTTTGAACTAGATTTCAGTGAATGTCCCGGGCCAAAGAAGAACGGCGCCAGGCCCTGAGATGTGCAGAGGGCAGAGTGTTTCACGGGCCCTGCTCTGTGACCCCCGGAGCTCAGTGTGGACTTCATTGGGCGAGGCTGTGTGTGTGCTGATATTCTGTAGGAGCATGAAACCCACAGCTTCCTGGGACTCATGTTGCGGGTCCTTCTGCTTGCTCACAAATGTTTGCGAGGGCATGGGCAGGGCCAGACAGGGGGCTGAACCAGGGTGCCAGAAGTTGTGACTAACAACTTACCCATTGTTGAGAAAATTATGCTGTGCTGAATTCCATCATTTAGATAGGTTGCCAAACACAGCTTTTGGTGTAGTGGTTAAGAGCGGTGGACTCTAATCTGGAGAACCAGGTTTGATTCCTCACTCCTCCACATGCAACCAGCTGGGTGACCTTGGGTCAGTCACAGTTCTCTCAGAGCTGTTCTCTCAAGGGCAGTTCTCTCAGAGCTCTCTCAGCCCCACCTACCTCACAGGGTGTCTGTTGTGGGGAGGGGGAGGGAAAGGAGATTGTAAACTGCTCTGAGACTCCGAGTGAAGGGCAGGGTATGAATCCAACTCTTCCTCCTCCTCCTCCTCCAGTGTTTAGAATATCCTGAGGCAGAATTGTCTGTTTTAGCATACGTAACCCTAGCTGCATGATGAATTTCTGCTAAACAGGATTCCCAGTTCTCAGGTTCAAGACCCTCCCATGGTCTCCCGGATTCTGATAGTTCGATGCACTTCGCCTTTCTATATTCATGTTTTTTTATGGTCTTCCTTTCTCACTTGGACTCAAGGTGAATTACGCATCAGCACAATCAACAGGTGGGACATTCGCTGAGCACTCCAATAGCATTAGGGCTGTAGAACCAACCAGAAGTCTAAAAACAGAACTGAAGCAAAGCATAAATATTAACATGGCACATTAAAATGACACAGAATTCCTTAGTAGGATCCTAATTTCAGCAAGGAAGAAGAAGAAGAAGAAGAAGAAGAAGAAGAAGAAGAAGAAGAAGAAGAAGAAGAAGAAGAAGAAGAAGAAGAAGAAGAAGAAGAAGAAGAAGAAGAAGAAGAAGAAGAAGAATTTATATCCCGCCCTTCACTTGGAGTCTCAGAGCAGCTTACAAACTCCTTTCCCTTCCCCTCCCCACAACAGACACCCTGTGAAGTGGGTGGGGCTGAGAGAACTCTGACACAAACTGCTCTTTCAGGAACAGCTGTGCCAGAGCTTGTGTCTGACCCAAGGTCACATCAGCAGGTGCAA